ATATTTTTGTATTCCTATAAATATTCTTCAGCTTTATTATATGACTAAGTTAATGTTACTTGGAAACAGTTCATCTTTTTAGGTATTACATTTAAGCTTTGTTAGAAAATGGCAGGACAACATTTGGTCAAAGCCCAATTTTTCCTCACAGTTGATGGAAAACCCTTCTCAGTATACCTACCTCATTTCCTGAATTAGGAGATTTTCCCACTGTTGTTGGTTGGACAAGCACTAAGCCTCATTTTGTGTGACCTAAGGCTGTTTCCTTAATCTTTTTTAGGTGTTTCTTTCCCTAGCCTCAGCTAGTTTCCTCACATGCATAAGTTTATCAATTTTCAGCTGAATACTCAGAGATTCTCTGCAAATCTTCAACATTTTCTCTCTGTGCAGCTCTGTTCTCTCCAGTTCTTTGTGAAATCTAACTGCTTTTGTGTTTATAGAGTTTTAGGTCCATCTCCTCAATCTGGCAACATTTTTGGCCTCTGCCTAAGTATCTCCCTGCACAAAGGCCAAGAAACTTTCTCTAGGTAGTAAGGTGAAGTTTCCCATCTGTCTGGGATCTCAGTCTTTTTTAACCTGATGTTCAGTGTGTAGAACTATTATTTCTTTTCTTTTTTTAATGTTTAACAATCTTTAATTCAAATGTAAAAGTTCAATACAAGCCATTTGTAGGGCTTGGGATTTGTTGTTCTTTTAAAAACAAGAATAGAGGAAATGTGACAAAATGATCTTTCCACTTTTTTCAAAAACTTTCAAGGATAGATCATAGGGCCATAAAAGATCTATTAACCAAACCCACTTTCTCCTGCTACCAAGTCTTACACCCATTCCATAATCTTAAAATATATTCCTGAGTAAAGATTTACAGTTCATCTTTGATTACATAACCATTTAAAAATACTTAGCACCAGCTTGCTTCCTATAATGCCAAACAATCGTGAACTACTTCAAATCTGCATTTCTTCTTTTTAAAACAAGAGGGCAGTTACTTGTAGAAAGCAATACTTAGTCTCCCCATTCATTTCCCAGAAATGGCATATGCCTGCCATTCAAAGGCCTCGACACTCTCATGCTTTCAAAGTGGAATACCTAGCCTAATGTGCATAGAAGCATGAATGGCAAAGTTGAAGATCAGTATTATAACTATTTTTCTATTTATTTGAAGCACAGTAAAAAAAAAATCTGTACACTTTGGAAATTCGGTGGCATAAGGTACAATGCCATTAACTTGAGGGACATTATACAGTAAAAAAAAAAAAAAAGGAGAGAAAAAAAAAACTAAAAAGAAAAAACTTCTCCTGTTTCAAACACTGCATTACATAATTTTACCTGTCCAAACAGACCATTTACAAATAATAGGTCAATAAACTGCTAACATCCATAAAAAGGTAGCTTTCTTACTAAAATGCAAGAATTTAAAAGTGCTATCTAAACAAGAAAAGACAAAACCAAACTGGAATGAAAACCTAGATATCACATCTAAAATTGGGGTTTTTTGTTTGGGCCTTCATACTCCTCTCCCTCTACCATAGCCTGCTGGAGTTCCAGAGCCCATTCATCTAGGACCCTGTCTACCCACAGGTCCCGCACCTCCCTGCCCAAAGCACTCAATACCGTGTCGCTTCCCATCATGGAACCACTCATAGTTGCTGGTGGAACTCCAGGATTAGCTTCATAACTTATGCCACCACCACCACCTAGAGGTGGAAATTTCTGGCCTCCTGAACCATAGGGATCTCCCATGTTTATTGCTCCTCCACCACCCATTCTCATGTCTCTTTCTCTTGGATCCATGTAGCCCATCCGGCTATAACTTTCTCACATTGGCGAATCATCATCTATTCCTCCCTTCTACGTTTTTCCTCCTGCTGCCTCAATTGCATTTCTTTACGTTTCTGCATTTCTTGATTGTGAAGTTCTTCCATACGTCTTAATTCTTCCTGACGTCTCATCAGATCTTGGAGTAAAAGATTTGCCTGATGCTCATGAATAGGCATCTTCCATTTCACTTTCCAACTTGCCTTTTGCATCCTTCATGTTTTTTTCAACTTATTCCCTTTGCTGTTTTTCCATTTCATCCAAGGACTTCCACCTCTGAGAATATTCATACTCAAATGTGCCATGCTGAGCAAAACGAGGTTTCTCCTTTTGATACAGTGGATTCTTCTGTGCAAGTTTTTCAGGAAGACCATCTTTATCATCTAATTGTTCAAGTGGTTCCACAATGACTGGATGAGGAGTTGTTGTCAGTAGGAAAACACCTTCATTGCTTCGTTCAAATGCTTTTCTTGCTGCTGATTTAGAAGCAAATTCAACAATGCCTTTCCCTATAGATCTACCGAAATCATCCACAACAGCCCTTTCAATAGACCAAACTGGCTAAAGGCTTCTTCCAATAGAACTATTATTTCACATATCTTGTCTTGCTTTAAATTTATTTTAGGTGGGAGAGTAAATCTGGATCAGAAGTGCAAATTCAATTTGTGTAGGTTATTTTTATAGCATGAGATCATACACATGAGTGTGCCTTTAAAAAGAAAATCCTACCCAAATTTATGTATTTTATATTTTTCTAGTAACAGGCCAAGTGCATATCAGTTAGTATATATTACTATATATTGACACATACACACACACACACACACACACACACACACCCCAGGGATATGCATATAAATCCACTAGAAAGTGAGTTCCTGGATCAAAGCTTTAAACAACAGAGTCATGGATTTCATTAGAAAGGAACATCTAACATTCCCCCAGTTACCATGCTCTTGTTAACTTGCCTGGAATCACTTAAAGCAAGGTTAAAATTTGGCACCCCAATTCTAATTTTCCTAGATTTAGAATTCTCTCACTGCACAGTAGTTCATATTCCCAAGAAATTAGGGGCCCCTGAACTGGTTCTCTCTGGTTTAGTTTACTAGAGTAAACTAAATTTTATCTAAGGATGTTTCTGTTCTGTGAGTTCCTACTTAATGAACTATAATCTAATTGAAAGCATAATTTAGAAGTATACTTCTTTTTTAATATTTATTTCTTTTAGTTGTAACTAAAAGAAATATTTATTTCTTTTATTGTTATTTATTTATTTTTATGTGGTGCTGAGGATCGAACCCAAGGCCTCGCATGCATCATGTGCTCTACCACTGAGCCACAACCCCAGCCCAGGAATATACTTCTATAACAAATAGTTGATTCTTAGCTGCTGTAGCCAAGTTTCAATTACAGGTGGCCAGCTGACGAGGCATACCGTAAGCTGTAACCAATCAAGTTGTTTCTGTACCTCATTTCTGCTTTCTATCCACAAATGCTGCCTACTGATGTTGTAGAGCTGTGTTTTCTAAGCTGCTTCTGATTCTGAGGGCTGTCTGACTTGTAAATCATTTTTTGGGCAATTAAACTCTATAAAATGTACTTTTTATTTAAGTTTTTATTTAACATATCCCAAACTCTGCCTTGACATTGCTATTATCCTCTGAGGAGACTTACCTATGCCAGACATCATTTTTTCTTTAACTTTCATGAAAACAAAGATGAGGGTAAGTGAAGACAAATAGAATTGTGAGTGACCTATAAGAATATTTATGATTTATTAAGTATCTACCATATGCTAGGGGTTCTATGTATGTTCTCTAATTCTCTTAAAACCACTAACTAGCCATGAGGAAGGCCTTGGGGAATCAAAAGAAGACTTACACAAGGGGTGTTTCCTCAGGTAAATCATGAAAAATAAGTAGAAGTTAGGTGAAATGAGGCATGCAGTGGGAGATCAGGCAGGTGTTTCAACAGAGGGAATAACATATGAAAAGGCTTGAAGGCAAGAAAGAATGTGACTAATTTGAGAAACTCAGTTCACTTTGGCTGAAAAATGAAGTGGAGAAAGGATGCAACTTGAAGATGGATTGGTGGGAGATGAGAAAACATGCAACTGTAGATCTAGAGCAGATTATGAGGGCTTTGCAAATGAAACTAAGAAATTCTGATTTTTTTTTCTTGAAGGCAATTTGGAAATGTTTAATTCAGGGAAAAGTCATTTAAAGTAGTAAAATTGAGTTATAGCTATGGAGATGTAGGAATATGTACATTTGTTCCAAAATTCAATATTTATGCATTCCTTAGCTATTTATGCATTCAACAAATATATTGATTGCCTACTACATATTAGGCACTGTGATTAAATATTGGTTAAATAAATATATGTTGAATTATTGTAAATTAGCTGTCATTTATTGAGCCCTTATTTTGTGCTAGGCACTGTGTTAGGTGTCTTATAGAAATGTTGATAACACCTTTTAACAGGTGAGGAAACTGAAGTAATCAGAGTTCAAGTATTCCAATGACATATAACTAGTAAATGACAGTCAAAATTTGATCTCACATCAGTTAGTATCTTGCAAGATTTTACCATGTTACTCAAGTGAACACATTTCACATGTTAACTGTACTTAATATTTTTTAAATCCAAAGAAAAGAACAATAAAACATTTTGAACTAATCAAGAAAATTTAATCAGCAACATATGGGCACATTGCCCTAGATTTCCATAAAGAATTTGCCTTTGTCTTGTAAATGAGGAATAATTTTATATTTATCTACATGAGCAGTTAGGTAAAATTTGGAGTACTCAAACCCCCAAATAAATTTTCATTCCTAAGACTTACCTAGATGATGTTAAAGTGTTATTTTTTACTTCTTTTTTCCCATTCTGTGTCTGTACTTTATTAATATTAACAAACATTAATAAAGGTTGTATGTAAAAGAGCAATTTTATTTTGAAATAGGAGAGAGGAAAATGCGTGCTACAATAATGTCAGAGTTTCCAGTGGAAGATATTGTGAACTTGTTTGTCTAAACATATTTTATTTGGGGTTCAGTATGAATTTTCAATAGATGTCTTTCAGATAAGAAAGCAGTAATTCAAATGCAATTATATAAACAAGAAGATCAGAGGGGAATTATCGTGAAGGGTATAAAATGAACCAAGAGTCTGGGTCATCACAGAAGCAGCTCACCAATGCAAAGTAAGGTAGGTTTCTATAATGAGAAGGCTCTGTGAAATAAAATGTTCTTATTCCAAGTTTCTTTTATTTTCAAAACTGTATTTAATTAAAAATTGCAAGTGTAAGAGATAATTTGTTTTAATAGGCTCTAAAATTTTTAATTATTGCTCTAAATTGTTCAGTAGTTGGTGAAGGTAGGTGAACTACATACATAAGTTAAGAAAAAATTCCATTAACTTAAAGGAAAAGAAACAACTGGTTGGTTTCCTAAGGAAGAATGTTTGATGTGCATGACATTCTCCTGTTTACATTTGATTCAAATGTTTTTATCAATTGAATGTGTATTAAATCTTCTCAATTACTAATGGTCATTTTTGATCAAAATATAATTCTGGGAAGTCTTAGAGTAAATTCAGTTTTTAGTACCTGCAGGGGCAATATACTCTTTATTAAAATTTTTTTTTAGTTATTTAATAGTCAAACCTCCTTGGATGATATCCAACACAAACATTTGCCTATAGTACATTTTGCTCTCTAGAAAAATGTACTGCTTTAGGGAAATTCTGGTATTGTTCATAAGATGGGCAATAGATTCTTCTTCCTTTTTTCTTTCTTTCTTTTTTTTTTTTTTTGTTGTACTAGGGATTGAACGCAGGGTGCTCTGTCACTGAGCTATATCCCCAAATGGTCGCTCCCTGTCCCCCCCACCGACCCCCCCCGCCTTTTTTAAAAAATTTTGAGACAGTTTTGCTTAGTTGCCAAGCTTGGCCTTGAACTTGTGATCCTCCTGCCTCAGCCTCCCAAATTGCTGGGATTACAGGTGTGCACCACCACTGGACCTGGCAGCAATTGATTCTTTACTTCCTTTCTGAAATCTCATAGAATCACAGACTATTTGTGCTGTAGAAACCCTCGAGATCATCTTCTGTTTTTAAGCCTTTCTTTCATAGATGAGGAAATTGAGGTTCAGAAAGATTATGAAGATGAAGTTTTAATTCCAATAAAGAAGTAAAGGAGAAAGAAATAGTTCTTACTTTCTGTATGTCAACAAAAGTTGTATCACTGTTATGGCTGGTAATTCAACACTTTTAATATTTTACTTTTGTTAGTTTAAAGTTCTGCATTTATAAGAAGAACTTCAAAAAATGTGTGCAATGAATAGGGCATCAATGGGAAAAAGTTATAACACAATTTTTTGATCCTAGAATTTTAAAGGGGGTCAAGTGTATTTGTCTGTTTCTATTTTGCAAACAAAATTCAGACAGATTAAATATTTTAGTCAATTTTTCTTAGATCCATGGAGAATTCTGTTGCTTAATTTCTAAATCAATCTTTTTATCACTTGGTCACCACACATCTATTTTATATAAAATTGTAGAGCTAGAGGTTAAAATAAGTGAAGTTAATTATTTCCTGTGGTAAAAAATCAGTAGGTAGCTGCCCAGACAGACAAGAACTGTATGATCATGGTGGATGAGTGTTTTACATAATTTACCTGGTTCATAATTTTAAAATCCTGTAGACGTTACTCCAGGTCTGTGGTTCTTAAATAATGAAACCAACTCTATATCATAGTGGGAATTCTTAAGTGAAACACTTAAGAAAACCTAATTCCATAAGTAAGGAATTCCTGTTGGGGGGCTGGGATTGCAATTCAGTGGTAGAGCAGGTTGCCAGGAGAGTAGATTGCCAGGCACGCATGAGGCCCCAGTTTGATCCCCAATGCTGCAAAAAATAAGGCCATGGGATTTCATATATTTTTTTCTTTTTCTTTAGTTGTAGATGTACACAATATGTTTATTTCATTTGTTTATATGTGGTGCTGAGGATGAAACCCAGTGTCTCACACTTGCTAGGTGAATGCTCTGCCACTGAGCTACAACCCTAGCCCATAAATTCTTATGTTTTTGCTTCCTAAATCAAATACAAAACAAAAATAAACAAACAAAACCCCTACAAGGAATGCTTGAATGGGCAATATTTTACTTAAGAGTTCACTAGTCCTTCCTCCTAAAATGATTTAGTTCACTTCCTTTTCTATTCACAAGTATAGTAAACCTAAGGATATCCTTGATAATTGTGAGTTATAAGTTGGACTCTTTCAGAGAACCTAGAACAATGGTATTATTTGAGTTCATACTTAGCTCCTCCACTGGACTGTCAATCCCTTAGATCAAAAACCATATCTTACTCATTTTGTGTCTCAGTGCCTGACTCTGATGCTCACTATATATTTTTCTAGTTTATCTTCATTTCTCATTCTAGGAATAAGAAGTTGGTTGAATGACTACTAGTTTTTAGAAGTTGACATGTAAGATAAATCCCTGATTACCTCTGAAAAATATGCTCTTCATTTTTTTTCCTTACAAGTTTATTGAAGACAAATTCTAGTTAACTGAGGCTTGTGTGTATGAGTTTCAGTAAGTAGGGGTATTAGCTTAAAGATACTGTTTATATATAATTGAAAGTTTTGAGAAAATATTGATAATTTTTTGATGATTAAATAAAGATGTTTAGTGAATAATTATTTAATATTATGAGAAAACGTCTTGTGTTCATAGATAATACTACTCCACTACAGGGTGTATTCTCTTTACTGACAATGAAACTTGAGAAGAAAAAGAACCCAAACACACACACACACACACACACATACACACACATACACACACACACACATACACACACACACACACCCCTATCTAGTTGTACAATATTAGTAAAATGAAAAAATCTTCTTAATCTTTGAACTGATCAACCTACATCCCAAAGTCTGAAATTTGATTACCCTCTCTTAGTAGCAAAACAAAAATAATTATGTCATAACATTATCCAGATCATTACAATGCCCAATTGGTAGTGAACAAGTTTTCCATTAGACAGGCTCTATTGAGATGCATGTTCTACTTCTGCAAGGGGATCCTCTGTTGTTTCCCATGCAGCAAAAAAACATTTAGTATTTCTTTCTTACTCATAATAGATCATCATCATTGATTGTGTTATTTTCAATGTGTCAAACTATATATTTTGCCTCTATATTCTGTTCAAGATAATGAGTTTCATATATCTTCTGTGTAAAATTATCTTTTATTTGGTCAAATTCCGCTTCTTTCAATCTTAAAGGAATATTCTATGGGTTCAGAAGGTGGGTCCTAGATTTCTAAGTTAGCCTATTAACACTAGTGTAATTTTAGTTTCGCTTTTCTGGACTTTCTCTAGCTTCATGATATCTTCTTTGACTGGAAATGGTGGAATTATATGCAATATTATTTGCACTGGAATGGTACTAAAATTTGGTTATGCCTTTTCTTGGTTTCTTTGTCCTTTCTGATTATGAACAAAAGATTTGTTGGCCTTTTAAGTTATTGGGCCAGAGTTTTTAGAAAACTACCATTCTAGGAAATCTCTTCCTGAAGGATAACTATTAATTGACTTCTTATAAAGGTAGTTATTTGGATTATATTTCTACTGAATGAATTACTTCCCATTTGATTCCCATATGCATCTCTGTGTTGTGTTAACTTCAGGCTTGCCATTTTGCTCTGGCAAGCTTTGTGGCACTTGAAAGCGGGACCTCTACAATGTGAGCTCCTCCTCTACTATGAGTATGTGAATCATAGCCACATCAAAATGTATATTTTAAGGTTTGAGAGTATTAAGTATATAAAAACATGTAAGCTTTTCCCAAATGTGTCTTCCAAATGTTCTGAAAGAATACATGTAATAGGTTTTTAAATTTTATCTTTTATTTTAGCATGACTGCCATCTTCCTGATGTCCATGCTTTTTGGTCTTGCATGTGGGCAAGCAATGACTTTTTGTATTCCAACCGAGTATACAATGCATGTCGATAGGAGAGAGTGTGCTTATTGCCTAACCATCAACACCACCATCTGTGCTGGATATTGTATGACACGGGTATGTAGTTCATCTCACTTTTGGACATAAATTATATAAACATAGAAGCAGTTCATTCCTATCTGTAAAGGAAATGAGGTAAATGACAACCTCATTTTCCAAATCCAATGATTATTGGCTCCTTAAAAGTAGAGCACACAGTTTATAATATTATGTGGATTTACTCAGCAAAATGGGTACAGATAAATTTATAATAGTTTTGCTATCCATATTTGTTTAAGCTTATCTTATTCCCATAATCAGGGATAAAAGAAAGGAAGGTATCAGTTTTGTCTCTGTAGGATTCAGTGTAGATGTGTTATTGGGGAACAGGGTGAAGGAATCCTCTCTTAGTTGTTATTTGTGACAAAGAATGGAACCACCATTTGACCTAGCTATCCCACTCCTCAGTCTATACCCAAAGGATTTAAAAACAGCATACTTGGGGCTGGGTTGTGGCTCAGTGGTAGAGCACTCGACTAGCACGTGCGAGGCCCTGGGTTTGATCCTTAGCACCACATAAATGAAATAAAGATATTGTGTCCAACTACAACTTACAATATAATATTTTTTTTAAAAAACAAACAAAAAAACCCCAGCATACTTCAGGGACACAGCCACATCAATGTTTATAGCAGCACAATTCACAATAGCTAAACTGTGGAACCAACCTAGATGCCCTTCAGTAGATGAATGGATAAAGAAAATGTGGTATATATACACAATGGAATATTACTCAGCAATAAAATCATGGCATTTGTAGGTAAATGGATGGAGTTGGAGAGTATAATGCTAAGTGAAGTTAGCCAATCCCGAAAAACCAAATACCAAATGTTTTCTCTGATATAAGGAGGTTGATTCATAGTGGGGTTTGGAGGGAGGAGCATGGGGAGGATTAGACAAACTCTAGATAGGGCAAAGGGGGTGGGAGGGAAAGGGAGGGAGCATGGGGGTGAAAAAGATAGTGGAATGAGTTAGACATCATTACCCTTAGTACATGTATGAAGACACGAATGCTGTGAATATACTTTGTATACAGAGATATGAAAAATTATGCTCTATATGTGCAATATGAATTGTAATGCATTCTTCTGTCATATATAACAAATTAGAATTAAAAAAACAAAAAAGAAAAAGAAATATAATGAATCAGCATTCATCTGTTTCCATTATCTATGTTTTCTAAAGTCCTATCATATTATGCTCTCTTATGTATTCATTCTCAGGATATCAACGGCAAGCTGTTTCTTCCCAAATATGCCCTCTCCCAAGATGTGTGTACATATAGAGACTTCATCTACAGGACTGTAGAAATACCAGGATGCCCACATCATGTTGCTCCATATTTCTCCTACCCTGTCGCTGTAAGCTGCAAATGCGGCAAATGTAACACTGATTATAGTGACTGTGTACATGAGGCCATCAAGACAAACTACTGCACCAAACCTCAGAAGTCCTATCTGCTGGGATTTTCTGTGTAGCTTTAAGAGCAATATAATTTGCGATTTGGTTAAATGTGTTTACCTGGAAAAAAAAAAGCCTAATAAAATGTCATTATGTTTGACAATACCTTGTATATATCTTGAGTATTATTCCATCCACGTGCATACTTACACAGGCATTAGAGAGCTTAAGGAGCTTAAGAAAAGGTGAGTGAAAAAGCCTTTTGTAGTTTTCACATGAAAGAGGAGAATGGAAGTAAAACAGAACAGAGACATGCAGTGCTAATGAAAGCCAGACTTGAGCAGGTCCTCCTAACAGAGGACCAGGAGTTTGTCTTGACAGAGAAGGTGAATGTGGGTCCACTGCAGCAATGAAGAGAAAGCAATGTGATCAGAAGCTGAAGGAACACATGGCATCAGGGTACTAGAGACATTTTCTTCCAAAGGCTAGAAGCCAGGCTGGAATGGAGGTAGGCAGTAAGGAATATGTGAAATATGTAATATAAAGCTTTATCCTACTCATTCAAATGCACAGGATAAAACTCCACCAAAACTCAGCAGAGTATGGAACTCTTTAATTTAATTACTCTGGTGGGCCAACTGACCTATGAAAGTTATACCCCAAAAGGTCAATTTACAAAGCCTAGAAAAGAGGCCACGATCATTTTACATGTGGAAGTCTAAATCCTTCCTAGTCCTTGAAGTAACAGGAGATACTTTCCAGCATTTATACAAAAAGCTACTTGTACTGTTTTGACTTTTGATATCACATTCACTTTCTATATCATGAAAAACTAGTATAATTATGAAAGGTTTTAGGGACAGGGTGTGAGTGCTAAGGGATTTAAAGGAGTAGAACCATCCTAAATTTTAATCTAAACCTTCATTAATATTGAAACATTGTTTTTTTTTTTGGTGAATATGCTTAGTAAATGGCTCTTTATTTTCTTTTCCTCCATTAGATTCTCTGAGAGTTTGGTTTCAACAGACAATTGAATTGAGAGAGGTCTAGTGGCTTGCAGACTTGACCTCAAAAAGACTATCCTGTATTTGTCCATTACTTTCCATGCTCACTGCCATCATCAAAGTGAAAACTAATTGTCATTAGGGCCATTTGGCTTTGCTGTATCCCAATCACTGGTTAAATTCCACTGGGTATCTTGTAAATGTCTGTCTGCTGATAGTGCCCTTGGGGAGGATGATGCGGTGCAGATAAATTAGTACCAAACCCCTGATTTGCCCCTGGGAGGAAACAGATGTGCATTTATATACAAAAGAGTTAAGAACCTACGTTATTTTTGCCTTAATATCTGAAGTTAATATTTTTATAATCTCCAAATATTAATCTGGGGCTTTGGGTTCTCCTATCTGTGGATAACATGGATGCTTAAATCTACCTATCACTTAAAACTGTTTATCAAATACAGATTTTTAATTAATGAGTAAAAAGTCTAATGTTCAATCTAATTGGTACTAGCCACAAATGACTTTCACGTATTCTGAAAAACATTTTTTTTCCAAGGACTCGAACCCTGGAAAGACCAAGAGTTTTAGGGAGGCCACTCATAATAGTCCAGATGGAGATTTTAATAACTTAAGTAGGTTTCCTCAACTTGCAGTGAGACAGCCAGACCTGGACATGTGTATGATGGGCCTGTACCATCCTGAGCCATAGAACTCTAGAGTGGGTGCAGGAGAGACAAGTTGTTTCTTCCACTGAAGACAATCTATTTGGATAGAGGCACACACGAATTATATTAAACTATTCTTGAAAGTGGAGTTATCCAAGACAGAAAAAGCCTTAGTATGGAGCTTAAGGATTGGGATGACCAGTTATTTGCTTCAGTTGGATCCAGAAACTTGAGAATATGATGTGCTGTTTTGGAGGGGCTTGGCATCTCTTGGTTTAAGAAAAGGAGAATGGATAAAGTTTAGAAAGGGAAAGTTAGAGAATCATTGCTTGCACAACAGGGGAAAGATGGAAAATGGAATATTTCTGAAGTGATTCAAACTAAAGTTTAGAGGAGTCAGTTCTTGGCAGAAGAAGTTTGAAACTCAGTGCTTTCAGGGGAAAAAAATCTCTTATTCCTCATTTGACTCTGAAATATAAAGAATTCTTTCATAACTTAGATGGATTTGGGATCAGTATAGCAACATCTCTGTTTTTCTAAAGACCAAACTCTTTAGGAATAAGTGAATGTACCAGGATGAACTTATTGGCAGGAAATTCTGGTAACTGAAGCTCTTTTATATAGAAATTGCCTCTTTTTTTTTTTTTACTTACGAGCAGCAAGTCTGAGTCTTTAAGTGCAATTAAAATTCTTTTATCCAGGTCACTTCTGCGCTAACACTTTTTTTCGATGTTGGGTTTTCCTCTACCCTCTCAGCAGTCCTAGTTTTTATTTTTAAAGACAATTCTGTCTCACGTTCTCTACTTCTGCTATCTCCTTTCTACCTGCTGCCTCTGTCATCTTAGCATCCATGTCCCTGCTTCACAGAGTTGCACCTTTTTCTCTGCAAGTTCTTCTTATGCATACTTTCAGTTCAAGTTGTTCGAACTTTCAATTCAAATGGATTGAACCACAGTTCATCTCTTAAGCCTTTACTTTCTTTTTCATCCTTAAAACCTTTATTTTCACTCTAAAATTTCACCATTAAACCTTCTCTTTCCTTTTCTGTAACTAGACTTGGGTTTCTGACACCTCACCTGAAAAGGCCTTACTGATCCAGCATCTTTCCCACTAGTTTCAGAAGATGTTCCTGATCCCATCCCCCATCTTCTCCAGCACCTTGCTGTTTCCTCCTGTATCTTTTCCTACTTCCTCTTTTTTGACACATCTTCAGTGTGAAGCATCCATAGATCTCTTCCCATCCTAAAAAAAAAAAAGAAAGAAAGAAAGAAAAAGAAAACAAACTTTTCTTGGCCTTATGTAATTTTCTAATTATTTGTCCTCTCACATCTTAAATTCTTATGCCAAGTTTTTGTTTTGTTTTTAAATAAAAAAGCCTGCTATATTAACCATCTACTTCTTCACTTTGCATTCTCTTCTCAGTCCACTACAATTTGACTTCTACAATTTGAAACTATTTTAGTAAGGGCAATAGTGAGTAACTAATGGTTCAATACACAGGATACCTTTTAGTTTTGATCTTCCCTGATCTCTCTGTTTCCCAGTGAAAGTCACATATCTCTGTTCACAATATAACATAGCCATGGCATTTATAATTCGTCTTAATGAGGATGAAATCAACCTTCTCTAATTTTTTCATGCCTTTTCTTTCTACCTTTCTCCATAATGACTCAAAATCTATACTATGGTTTTTAGCAAGCAGTGGTAATGTAAGTCTGGACTGTATTTTTCTTAGTAATTTTGCTTAATGCCATAGGGTGAAAATTCTAAACTTCATGAAAGAAGGGCTAGAGCTATAATAATCTTATGTGTTCTATTAACCGTTTGAACACTATTAAGTGTAGAGCATATAAGAAACTTGGCTTTGTATGAATTTGTCCTTGGATGTCCTAAGGAATTACATCCATTTCATAATCTGAAGTTGGCTTCATGCTTAAACCAATACTTTATTGCTGAACTAGTTAGAGTTGCATTAAGATGTTATATGGCAGCTACTAACGGAACATGGGAAGCTAAGAGACTCTCTGGCCTGAGATTAAGAAACGGGTGGAGAGTAAAGAATTGTTGCATACTTTTAATAAGAGTATTTGATTCTAATTTTTTCAGCTTGATTTTTCTCTGGGGATTTAATCATGAGAAGTGGCTCATCTTGTTCAAATGTCAGTACTATCACTTTTATGTGGATGATTCCTGAACTGCAGTTTTAGTGCAAAATTTTCTGAACTTCAGGGCTGTGTATCCACTGGCTGTGTGTATTTTCTTTTGGATGTCCTGCGGTCATGGTGAATTTTTAAACAGTGGCAGAAAACCAAACTTGAATCTTTTTTGTTGTTGTTGTTGCTTTTACTATTATACTATCATTCATGCATGGAATATAATTTGCTCCATTTCAATCCCCAGTATTTCCTCTTTCTCCTCACTCCTCCCTCCCTTTTCCCTTCCTCTACTCTACTGGTAGAGGAAGTCATCTCCTACATCTCTGATCCAATCTACTTTTCTTCCTGTGCAGCAGTATTTTCCAGCTACTGAGTCAGAAACCTAGGTTCCTCTCCTTTCTGATTCCTCAAATCTAATTTCTCTTAAGTCTACTTCCTATGAGGGTTTCTAGTACATTAGTTAGAAATTCTTATAAGTCAGGTCTTTGCCATCCAATCACTCCTTATATTTAAGCTGAGTGATCTTTACCTTTAGGTACATCTATAAGGCACTAATTTAGAAAAACAATAAATAGGAGGAAGACCAGTAGAGTAGAGGAAGGGAAAAGGGAGGGAGGAGTGAAGGGAAAGAGGAAATACTGGGGATTGAAATGGAGCAAATTATATTCTATGCATGTATGATAGTATAATAGTAAAAGCAACAACAACAACAAAAAAGATTCAAGTTTGGTTTTCTGCCACTGTTTAAAAATTCACCCATGACCACAGGACAAACATTAGCTGTCGACATGTTCAGTGTTTTCATGCTCTGTGTATTTCAGGGTCTTCAGCACGCTTTCCCCACAAACCCTCTTCTTTCTTCCTCTTCCCCTACCACTTTTGACTTGGCTAATTTGTAAGGGATTTTTAGCATTCAGTTTAGAGACCCTAACATTCAGGAGATGTCTCTCCCTTGATCTTCTTCCCAACTTTGAGTGGGTCTTCTCTGGATTAATGATTATCATAGTACTTGTCTCAATATACCCACCAGCTTTTCTGCACTCTAAGCTTGTGACAGCAAGCAGACTTGCCTTGCCCATCATACCACATTAGTAGTCCTATAAAATGTTCCACAATGCACAAAAGAGTAATCCCAAACAAAGTTACAAAAGCAATTCCAATATTAATGTGGGTGCATCTTACAATGTGGAGCAGGCCCAGAGAAGAGCATAGGGACTTTGGCTATTGATATCAAGTTTTTGAATTAAAATAGGTTTGGGAAATATATCAAATGCTCTTCGATAATTCAACAAATGAATATGTTCCTATAGATAACTGGAATCATACAGAAGTATCTTCAATTCTATATGATTTTTAGAAAATTATTTATAGTTAACAAAACTCAGGAGAATTAACATAATAATTATAGCAGTAGCTAATATTCACTAGTTGCCAGGTGTACTAAACACTTTATATTGGTTGTTTTACTTTGATTTAAATTTCTATTTATTGTGATACTGGGGATTGAATACAGGGTGCACTGCCACCAAGCTACATCCCAACCTTTATTATTATGTTTTTTTCTTTTAAGTTTTATTTTGTGATAAGGTCTCACTAAATTGCCTAGGTTGGTCTCAAACTTGGGATTCTCCTACTACAGTTTCCCAAATTGCTGGGATTATAGGTGTGTGCCACTGTGCCTGGCTAATTTATATTATTTAATATAAATAAAAGCCATCATAAGTTACACAGAGGGAAAACCCCCAAAACAAATATGAACGTTTTGGAAGCGTTTTTGGCACATTAGCTAAACACTTCATGAAATCAACATCAATGACAAAGTATAGGACATGTTACTTCTATCCTTCATGCTTTTTCTGTTTCCAAGGGATAGCCATCTGAACATGGTTCCTGGAATATATTTCGCTTTTCTTGTTATAATAAGGATACCCCAAATTAATAACACTCTGTATTGGTGTAGGTGTTTCACCTTTAAAGGGATACTTATAGCTACAGATACTATGTACCTATATATTTAAAGAAAAAAAATGAAGAATCATGTTGAAAGAAAGTAAAAAACTTTTGTCTCTCTTAAAATACATATTAACACAAATTTGATTTTGATGATCCCAAACTAAAATACAGCTAACTTCAAGGGCCCTTGAGTGTTCTCCCACAGGTTTGGGGAAAACTAGGTTTCTGAGATTGAGAAGCTGGTGGTCAAAGAGGATGGCAAGGAGTCCAGGAACCAAGAAGGATATAATGTGCACCTATTGAAGCCCTAAAGGCTGCTCCCAGAACAATGGAAGCCACCTTTTGCGTGTGACAGAAGAGTGGCTCTTCTTTTTAATCTTTGATAAACTTTAGAAAAGTTGCTTCCCTCTTCACCCATCTTCCCACCAGCCTCATTCTCACCCAGCCACTCCTTTTAGACATTGCTCACAGAAAAAGGAGAGCAACATTGTCATTGACTGCATGAAGGACCACACTGTACCCTGGGTCATTGTACAATCTTACCGATTAAGCCACAGATAACAAAGAAGCTATTCTGGAGAAGAGAAGTTCAACTTGGATTAAAAAATAGTAGTTGAAATACAACTATATGCAATGAAAGTCTTTAGGGTATTGCTTTTGAAAATATTCAGCTCTTAATAACATTATAGGAAGATGACCAGTTGTTTCATATACCATATTGTTTGGTTATTGATAGTAACAAACATTTAAATAAGTTGTGTGAAGATGTGTCAAAAGATATACAAGGATTTTAAGATAACTCAGACAAGCAGTTCCAATACATAGAAAATTTAATTTAAAATAACTTAAAATATTTCATCATTAAGAAGTTTTAATTCAGTGCCTTGGCACCAGGGGTTTAAGAAAATGTTTGTGTCTGATCTCCAATTAGTTCAGGTAAACAAATAACTGAAATATTATGTATACAAGTGTGTGCATATGTATAGATATATAGACATACATATATGTGCACATACATATATGTGTACATGTATTCAAATTATAGATGTATATACACTCAAATGTTTTCAAGATATATATATATATAGATATAGATATAGATTCAAGGTATATAGGGATTTTCTATCTATATGAAACTATGTCTCTGTATGCATGTGTGTGTATATACACACATATAAAATCTACCCTCACTTAGCAGTGGAATTTTCTAATTTTACTTATGGCACTTATTTTGGAAAGCTTAACCCCCTAAAAGGGCACATTAATCATATATGAAACAGATTTCTAGTCTTGTACTTTAACAAAATTTTTTAAACATTTAAAAAATTAATTTATTTCTACTCTTTCACTTTTAATACCGTAGTCTTCTTTAAGATTGTTAATTCAGATATGGAATGAAATTTATTTTTTGTGGAATAAAAGATAATTCTGAGCTGGAGGAACCTGAGTATATACTTGGACCTATCTCCTGTCATTTAGGGGAACAGATGAACTAGTTACTAAACTTTGCTTAAAAGGTTACGTTTTTCAACTATTAGAATGCAAATATTTATTTCATGAAGTGATTTTCTTAAATCTTTTTTTTTTTAGCTATAGACACAGCAAAGTAGCCATGCACAATTAAGTTTTTAGCTTGCTTCCAATCTGACTTTTTTTTTTCCTAGAAAAGTTGTCCTCCAAAGTTAGTAGCAATAGCAAGTATGGCTGAAAGAAGTGTGGTGCTTCATAACCACTACTTTGAGCAGTTATATCTTTTCAGCAAAATGTTTGTTAAGGTTCTTGGGAACCTGGCACTTCCTCTTAGTGCACAGCCAAAGTTTTGTGTTCTCACATTTATAAGAAGCTCACTGGGAATTTCCAAAGTCCCCCATATTTTCACTTTTGTGTGACTTTTTGAAATGCAATTAAAAAAAATCCATGATTTACTAAATGTAACAAATTGCTAAAAATTACAGACAAATAGGCCAATTTAGGTCCTAAATGTGGATTTCCTTACTTAAAATCAAGAATTAAGACCAAAAAAATAACAAACCTGAAGATTTTATTTTCATAGGGGACTTGCATAGAAAGGAATATATTTGTATTGCGTATGTTTGTATATAAGTATTTTTGTTTCCTGAACTTCTCTTTATTTTGGGTATACAACTCAGAGATGTTTTTATTTGGCCACTGATGCTCATAAAATAATATCTAATTGTGCAGGAATTTTTTTTTTATTTAAGTGGTCAAAACCGTAGTTATGAATATATGAAGAATTCTCTCTAGGTGAATAAATAAGAAAAGTACAAAAAATTAGGAAAATATGTAAACTCAAGTTATGAGGTATTTCAAAGGTACAATAAAAAATTTCTTTCCTACAATTTGCAACTGCCAGACTTCTTGCTTTAGTTGTTCTATTCTCATGTTTGGAGAAACATAGAAGAGTTCAAGATAAAAGCCCTTTTGAGGATATGAGGGTTGCAGTAGTTCAGAGCAGAGTCAGAAAAAGAAAGGGATAAAGCAATACTTACATGTATTTGTATAAGAACAAAAATATTGCCTTAAAAGTTTTTTTTTTCAGTTCTATAAATACTTTTATAGGGCACATGATTGTCTGTGTGACTACTCTTTCCAGAGGGAGGTTTTGTTTTTGCTTTTTTTTTTTAAATACTAGGAAAGCATGACTTATTCAAATTAGATTTTCCATGCTATATTTAGTTTTACAGATGTGTTAGTTTTAAAACTGTGGTTTACTGTATTTTGGGGGAGAGAATATATATTAAAAAACCCTAGGAAACCCTATAATCAGACAGAGTCAATTTCAACACTGCACCATGATCTCTCAATTCTGTAGCTTATTGCTTCCATTAAGTAGAAATCCCCAAATTCTCTGTATGCATCTAATTTTCCTGGCTGATGTCTGAGAAACTGAACCATTATCACATTTTCTGAACATCCAGGTTTTAAAAGTTTCTCAAAGCTATTTGATCTTTTTCTGGTAGTTAAATAGGTTATTCCTCTTACAGAACAAGAATCAGGAACTCCCAGCCAACAGATTTCTATAATGTATATACCAGAAACACACGGCTCACATGTGACTATGTTCCCAGTCAACATACCATTCACTCAAGGGGCAAACCAGTAATGAGCCAGACGTACATACATGTGCAAATGTACAATCAACAGTAAATTATTTTAGATTCTAATGTCCTCTTAACATTAAAAATGAGCTGAGAGACAGCTCCTGTGACATTTAGTATGAAAACTCTAGATTGCAATTTTCATGATGAAGTAGCTTCAAATCACATCTCGTGAGTTTCGTATTGCACAGCAAAGGACCATACTGAATATCATGCCAAAGATCTGAAACAGAAGGAACACTTGTTAGTGACTTTCAAATGTGTATTATTTGATTAAAAGGTCAGCAAACTGCTTAGGTGTCCAACTCAAGTTAATAAGTAACAATTACAATCAATAATTACTGGTTTATATGTTTATGTGTTCCTTGAAGATGGCTACGGAGCAATAGTTCTTTATTCGCTGCTTAAAATGCATTATTATATTATTATTGTTAACAAATAACAAGTCTCTGTTTTAAGAAAAGGACTGTTTCTGGCTTATAAAACAGGTCTTAATAGTTGTAAAAGATTGATATACTAACTGGTTTTGGAGTTGTATATTTTAGGGTTAATCCTAGATCATTTATGTATTCATTTGAAAAATGTGTTCATAACTTCTTGTTGTTTAAAGATACTTATGGTCCAAATAGTTTTCTATTGCTAGAAAAGCTTTAAATTCATACCAAAGTGTGGGGCATGTCTTCATTCCTGGCCCATTTTGATGTTCAAATAATTCTTCACTATTTAACTCAATATTTTTACCAAAGTACAAATGGAAGTATTTGAACTATGATATTCCTAACTTCTTCTACCTCTTGAATAGTTCTCTGAGAAGCAAAATACTTGGGCCAACTCAATATCCACTTCCATGGTTTGAACAGAAGAATTCCAGAAGATTGTTCCTGTCTTCAATCATTTCCTCGATGTTTGTGCAGAGCCTGTGGAACTCTGTCTGTGGATGTCCTTTCGTAAATGACTGTCAAGTTTTAGTTTTTAAAAATTGGCACCATAACTCTCATTAATTCATTCCATCATAAGTCAGACTAAGATCTGTAAATGCTAAACACAACAAGGCATGAATAACCAGTTGTTCTGGAAGAGCCCTGCAGACTTAAGTAAGGGCATAGCAGGATTTCATGCTTCTGGCTGTCAGAACTCACTACTAGCGTGTGGCAGGGAGACACCTAATGGACATTTGGTTAACTGATTACACTGGGCGACTCTCACCTTATTAGAACAAACAACAAAATAATTAAATATCCCCCAAAGGATAATTGTATTGAAGGCTGGTCCCCAGCTATTAGGAAGTGGTAAATCTTTACAAGATAGAGCCTAACATAAGGAAGGATATTAGGATCCCAGTCCCTCCTTTCTCTCTTTTGCTTCCCAGATGCCATGAAGTAAGCAGCCTTGTTCCACCTTATGTTCCCCACCATGATTCTCTGCACGGGCCCAAAGAGCTCTGGGGCCAAATGACCATGGACTAAAACTCTGAAGCTGTAAACTTTCCTCTTTTTAAGTGGTTTATCTGAGGTATTCTGTCACCGTAATAGAAAAATTAGCTAACACACCATGGTCATAAGGTTGGTAGTACTCTGAAGAGATGCCCTCAGAAAGAAACTTCTTCAGTCTCAGCCTGCTGCTGTCAAGAGTCATGGGTGACTTCTTTCGGCTGTTTATTTGTTGAGATTGTAGAATAGTTTGGAGACTCTATTTATACCTCCATTATAGAATGTTTTCAACCCACCTGCCTCAAGATTGTCTTTGAGGAGCTGCAGAAATTGCATCCAAGCTAGCCCTGGATCAGATGGGGAGGGTCTGACAGATGTTGCTGAGTTTAGGGGTTCTCAGCATAGTGTTTTCAACCACTGTCCTGCCTCTCTGTGCACTAAATTCAGAAAAGGGGAAAAGTGCTTGTGTGTCCCCTGAGAACTACCAGTTCATGGATTTCCTCACTGTTTTCACACTTTAGTGAGGGCTGAGAGCCAATCTTTATAGATGTCTGGAGAGTATATACTGGCTTGGCATTAGTTATCATCACCTAATCTCTGGACAATGGAAATCACCTCCTCACTGGCCTCCTGGACTCCAATCTCGCATTACTCCAATCTTTCCCTCATGGCTGCATCACATCTTTCTAAACCTCAAAGACTCCCCTCTCCTTAGAAATGAAGCCAAATTTCTCAGAAGGGCACATTAAAAATACCTCAATCATGTGCACCTCATACCCCTCCAGTGTCATCTCTGGTCATTCCTACATACCTGTCCATGGCTATCAGCTCCTCTATTATACTCTTCTTTTGTACTTCAGGAGTCCCAAGCCACCTGGAAACATTATGCCTCACACTCTCTCATATGCTGACCCTTCGCCTAGTTTCTAGATTTGGGAACACTCAGAACGGTTGGCATTTATTGAGTGCCATATGTGCCACAGGCTTTATATGAATTAATTTGTAATAATAGTTTATATGTAATATCCCATTTAATCTTCACAACAATCTTATAATTTGGTATATTAAAATCCCAATTTTTAGCTGGGGGTGATGGTGTACACCTGTAATCATAGCTACTTAGGAGGCTGAGGCAGGAGGATCACAAGTTCAAGCTCATCTTGGGAAATTTAGTGATACACTGTACTAAGCACTTGCCTCCCATGTATGAGGCCCTGGGTTCAATCCTCAATACCACCAAAAAGCCCATTTTACAAAAGAGGAAACTGAGGCATAGAAAAATTAAGATACAATTCCAGGGCTCGTAAATAGTGGAGTGAGGAGTTGAATCCAAATCATGTGATTCCAGAGCTTGTCCTATTAGTCACTGTGCTGTGCTGCTGCTTCAAATCATAGTTAAGAGAGATCAGGGTGATATTATGCTATTTTGAATTGAAAATCACTTACCTAACTTAATATTGGTGGCCTTAAAATAGATGTTATTGTGCTGATAAGCTCAAGGTCACAATTAGGTCAATGTTGAAATTTATATCATATCTTAGAGGACTAATTATTGATGTATTTAATTAACTTTGTTCTTAGAAAATGTACCATGAATAAATGTCTTTGTCCTTTATGAGAATTCTCTTTTAAAATACTGCTATCTAAGAAACATAATGGGTGCTAAAATTACTGCATCAAAGTGGGTGTGGAACGGGATATTTACATGGTCTCAAAGCATTTTTCCATAAAACATTATCTATGAAGGAAGAAAGAACAACTTAAAATGGGCAGATCTTGGAAGATACTACTTTGTTGATGAGAAGACACTTAACATTCCTAACTATGGGGCAAAATGACATCTTGTGGCACCTGAGAGGTACAGTGAGAAAAGCAGAGTCATTTCTGTCACATATCTACCCCAAATTCATAACTTCATACTTAGCATATGGAAACAGCAGACAAACTCAAATTGAGGAATATGCTACAAAATACCTAGCCTATAATTTTAAAAAATGTTCAAGTCATAAAAGTAAAGAAAGGATGAAATGCAGTCAAGGTTCTCGAAAGGATTGAAAAGAACATTTTAAGAATCCTTTTGCTATTAAAAGATATGAGAACAGTTAACAAACTTGAATGGGGATTTATGGATGACTAATAGGAGGGTTTTTGTGTGTGTGTGTTTGTGTGTGTGCTTTTCTTGCAACTGTTCTGTAAGTTTGGAGTTATTTCAAAATAAAAAATTAACATCACAAAAAGTGAGACTTTTTGAGATCCTGACATAAATGTTATACCTAAATACATTTTTTTGGGACAATTAGGAATTTGAACACTGTGTATGGATTGGATTATATTAAGCAATTATTAATTATTATAGTTATGGTTATGATGATGTGGTTATTTAATGAATAAAATGATGTGATGCCTCAAAATAAAAAAAGATACTGCCATCTCACACTTTAAGAAAAATCGTATGCAAAAGTTTGAGGCTCCTTAGAGGGCAAAAAAGGTAAGTTCTGGAACTTTCTCACCGTGAGACCTGCAATTCCAATACCGACAATTCCGATGAGCTGGAGCTTAACACTGATTATGGTCTCAATTTCATCAATGCAATTCTGTTTTGAAAAAAAGAAGAAGAAGAAGAAGAAGGAATGAAAACTGCTTGTATGTGTGAATCATCCCCCTCATCCAATCCTTTCCTTCTCTACAGATCATTCTTCTGTGAGAGCTAATCTATGTCAGCTTCTGCCCATATTTAAACCATTCCTCTCAGGTAACATCATCCTGGTAACCTTTAAGCAAAAATGCAATTTTGGGAAAAATACAATTCTCTTCTTTTGGTTTCCCTATTTAGGCCAGTAGCTGCTCAGAGCCCTAAAATCTGGCTGGAGGAAGTTGTTTCTCTGAGACCTGAGGTATATGAAAATTTGAGGCCTCTTCTTACTTTCAGTGAAGAAAAATAAACATCCCTAAAATAAGAACCCTTTATTTTTATACTGTCACTTACAGTTTAAAAGATTTTCTACATACTCTATCCAATTAACTATGCAAGGTAGGCATTACCTATTAAGAAACTAAAAAGTCTGTATAGGTTCAACTTAAACAAAAACTGTCTATGTGGGCCAGGTCTGGGGAGTTAGAGGACCATTCTCTCTTTTGGTGGCCAAGTGGGCTGTGGGTTTTTATCATTATGCCCATAAGAGACTGTGAAGCCTGGATTCAAAGGACCATCATGGACATGGGAAAAACTGGACAGAGAACAAAATAGATCACCTGTAACCATTATTTGTTTCCCTGGTTTCAAAATTTGGAGTCCTTTTAAGTAGAGGTATGCTCTCAACCCAACTGCATCCTCAGACTACTCAAATCCCTTTTCTTGTCACTGGTGGGCTTCCTCTGATACCCACATAAGCTACACAAAACCCTCACCAAATCCTCACGTCTCTTTTCATACTTCATTGAGTCAACAAACATTCCTGGAGCAACCACTTTGCATCAGCCCCTAAAATGGGTTGGTGGAAGTAAAGACTAAGACACGGTTTCTTCTGCTTATATTACATCCGGGAAAAAGTTTCAGAAACACTCCTATAGACCGTGGCTTCCTTATATACTGCAGAAAATGGGAGTCAACCTGAAGCACTTCTTCCAATCTTCCTCTTCTTCACCTCAGCTCTCTCTCTCTCTCTTTTTTTTAATAATTAAATGGTACTTTATCAAGCCAAGGTTCACAGTATTATCTCAACAAGAAAAGGAAAATAAAGGGAAAAAATAAAATCTGCAACAAAAATGTCTATTTTTTTCTAATTTTTCAGTATTTAACCTGAAACAAAGAGTTCCACATTCTTTCCTGAACACCCGTCAAGTTTGCAGTTCTTGATGACTAGAAATCTCCACTACTCATTTAAGGAAGAAATTATTCGAGCACAAAACTTACAAAAAGAAATTATGCACAGCTTAAGTTAAAATACATTCAATATGTTTTTCAATATAGAGTTATTCTTATGAAACATGTAGTCATTCAGTTGTCTCAAATCTACTTAGCCACACGGCTAAATGAGTCAATTCACGTTAGAAAGAAAGAAGTTTAAAAACATGCTCCCTTCCTTCAGTTCCAGGGCTGTCACAGGTAGCAAGCAAAGAACAGGGACATAGCAGTATCATCCCTGACTTCTTTTCCTTAGTGCCAAAGAAGTGCGCTTCTCTGTTGAAAGTTAACCTCTTTCTTCTCTGCTCTGGGTCTCATTCCCTCTCTCCTCTTGAGGATGCCCATGAAGCCAGTTACCTTCCCGCTTCCTTATACATTAGGCCTCTCCTTTATTGACATTTCCACTTATCAAATAACACCAGGTTCAAGTTCTACAATCTAAAGAAATAATAATACTCATAATACTGTCCTGTGATTGCCCATAGTCCCTCCTTTCCTTCATAGCCAGTTTTTGTTTGTGAAAAACAAACTAACAAAACATGTATTGACTTTAATAGTCACAAAGGAAGAAATCTGGAAAACACATGTTAGAAAAAAGAAAATAACATTTCGAGCAGAAGATGGCGGCGAAGGGAGTGCATTACCCCCATGTACCGCGTCACTGTGTGGGAGAATGACGAGTTAGAACGCCTAAAAGCAATCTTGTTAGGAATTTCCAGCAAAATTGGGGTGCTCCAAAACCTAGAGGAAGGATTTCCATCGCACGAGGATCAGCTACAGGGGCTCAAACGCGAGAGATTTGTCCGCACGGAGGGTCACGCTGCTTATTCAGCAAATCGCCCCGCGGCTAGAGTCTGAGGCGCGCGCTGGGAAACAAGGAGATAGCCACGCAAAGATACAGCTCTGCAGGCTTCTGCCAGCTGTGAAATCACCGTACTCAGTGCTGAATTCTGGGTTTGAGACGGGGGAAGGAAGCGGTCCAATTCGCTTCTCCACACCGGTCAGACCACAGAGGAAGCCAGCGGCCACCATCTTGGAGAGCTGATGTCACCATCCCTGATCGCAGCTCATTCAGCCATAGAACAGGTAATTTCAGGCTGCCATTCGCCTGCGGCTCGTAGACAAATTACTCAGGCTCAGTGCTAAAGAACCCGCGGAAACTGCTTCTTGGAGCGTGCTCTTATCAGAACATACACCGAGCACGGAGCGGCCGAATTCCGGCTCCCGGAACTGCTCTGGCCCAGGGATAAAGAACCCGCGGAAACTGCTTCTTGGTCCGAGTCCTGCTGAATACTGTGGAGGTAAATACCAACCGAGCCTTCATAGGCAGTGGCAACAGGACTGAGACGAGGCTTGAGAGGGCCGGTCAGGACTCACCCGTTGCTTTGGTCACCTGGCAAAGGGAACGAAATGCTGCCATTCGCATGGGATACCAACATGGCAGAGATCTAATGTCATCAGAAAGCGGCGGAGGAGAGAACTTCATCGATACCAGCGGCGACAGAAACAGTTGGTCTCCTGGTAAAGAAAGTGAGTCACAAACACCCGAGTCTCTCTCACTTTGTCATCAAGCCAGAGGGGTAGAGCAGAGCTGCCGCCCGCGCCCGGAACAGGCCCAGCGACCCGCAGGCGTGGTAGTCACGTAACCCCAATTGGAGTAGGGGCAGAGCAGAGCCACCACCCGCGCCCGCAAGGTAGACAGACCTGCGACCGACTGGCAGAACAGACCCAGCGGTCTGCGGGAGTGGTTGGAGGGGCAGGGCAGAGCCGCCGCCCGCGCCTGCAAGGTAGGCAGACCTGCGACAGACCGGCGGATCAGGCCCAGTGGCCTGCCGGCATGGTACACACGTCACCCCAACTGGAGTAGGGGCAGAGCAGAGCCGCCGCCCGCGCCCGGAACAGGCCCAGCAACCTGCCGGCGTGGTAGTCACGACACCCCAATTGGAATAGGGGCAGAGCAGAGCCGCCACCCGCGCCCAAAAGGTAGGCAGACCTGTGACCGACCAGCGGAACAGACCCAGTGGCCTGCCGGCGCGACAGACACGTCACCCCATTTGGAGTAGGGGCAGAGCAGAGCCACCGCCCGTGCCTGCAAGGTAGGCAGACCTGCGACCGACCGCTGGAACAGGCCCAGCGGCCGGCCGGGGTAGTAGGCACGTCACCCCAGTTGGAGTAGGAGCAGAGCAGAGCCTTCACCCGCGCCCGGAACAGGCCCAGCGGACCGCGGATGTGGTAGATAAGTCACACCAACTGGAGGAGGGGCAGAGAAGAGCCGCCGCCCACACCTGCAAGGTAGGCAGACCTGCAACCGACCGGCGGATAAGGCCTGGTGGCCTGCCGGCGTGGTACACACGTCACCCCAATTGGAGTAGGGGCAGAGCAGAGCTTTCGCCCGCGCCTGCAAGGTAGGCAGACCTGCGACCTACCGGCAGAACAGGCCCAGGGGTCCGCGGGCGTGGTACACACGTCACACCAATTGGAGGAGGGGCAGAGCAGAGCCGCCACCCGTGCCTGCAAGGTTGGCAGACCGCCGCCCGACCCTGCAAGGGAGACTTTTCAACTATACAAGAGCAATATAAATATATACGGGGGAAAGTTTTCAAAAACACAACAGTTTCACCAAGCAGAAAGAAATGCAAGCAGTATGAAAAGACAAGGAAAGAAAGGACCACAAGCAATGCAGGTCAACTCAACTTTAGAAGAGGTAACAGCTGCAGCAGATGGAATGTCAGATAAAGAATTCAGGATATACATGCTTCAGATGATCTGGAGTCTCAAGGAAGACATTAGACAGTAAAATCAGACAATGAAAGATCACTTTGACAATGAATTACACAAACAAATCCAGGAAGCAAAAGATCAACTATACAGGGAGATAGAGGTTATAAAAAACAAACAAACAGAAATCCTAGAAATGCAGGAAGCAATAAACCAACTTAAAAACTCAATGGAGAATACTACCAGCAGAGTAGAACACTTAGAAGATAGAACATCAGACAATGAAGACAAAGTATTTCAACTTGAAAAGAACATAGACAGCTCAGCAAGACTGTTAAGAAACCATGAGCAGAACATCCAAGAAATATAGGAAAACATAAAGAGACCAAACTTAAGAGTCATTGGGATACAGGAACGTATAGAGGTCCAAACCAAAGGAATGAGCAATCCATTCAATGAAATAATACGAGAAAACTTCCCAGACTTGAAGAATGAGACAGAATCCCAAATCCTAGAAGCCTACAGGACGCCGAGTGTGCAAAATCATAAGAGATCCACACCTAGACACATTATAATGAAGATGCCCAACATACAGAATAAGGAGAGAATTTTAAAAGCTACAAGAGAAAGGAAGCAGATTACATTTAGGGGTAAGCCAATCAGGATAACAGCTGATCTTTCAACACAGACTCTAAAAGCTAGAAGATCCTGGAATAACATATTTCAAACACTGAAAGAAAATGGGTTCCAACCAAGAATTGTTTATCCAGCAAAATTAAGCTTCAGGATGGAAGATGAAATTAAAACCTTCCAGAATAAACAAAAGTTAAAAGAATTTGCAGCTAGAAAACCATCTCTTCACATCATCCTCGGCAAAACATTACAGGAAGAGGAAATGGAAAATAACAATGAAAACCAACAGTGGGAGGTAGGACAGTAAAGGGGGGGGGAATAATCAAAGAGGAAAACAAA